TGATAAGGTGAAGAGGTCTACACCCAAGGGAGATAGTGGCGTGACTGATATTGATCCAGTTCGATTGCCAATTCATAATTTGGATATTGATATTTAGAATGGTGAACATGACTATCTTGTTGAGCAGAGATTTGGATATGAGGTAAATGTTTATATTGATGATATTGATGAAGAAAAACATGAGATGTCACGGGATAAAAGTCTTGGTGATGCACCTAAGTTACCACCAACCCAACTCAGGAGGTCTACTATACAGAGACAACCGTTTATAATGTACTCTTTTGATAAGTATGTGATCTTAGAACTTTAATTTCGTAGATAAATATATGTATTGTATTTTTTTTTTTCTGAAAGCAATTATATATGCAAATGGATTTTTTTTTCTCAGTTTTTGATATGTAGCTTGGTTTAGGTTGTAGGGGGTGATGGAACAGCTCGCTGGCTTCCTGGAGTTGTTTGTGATCTCAAATTATCTCATGACTCATCCGCCACGCATAGCCACGGTTCCATTGGACACGGGGAATAATCTACCATTTGCATTTGGTTGGGTAGGAAATTACAGCTCTACTTCAAAGTGTGTGTAAAAACATTATGCTGAGTCTACCATGACTTGATAGTTTTAGAGCTACTGTTTTCACGTCGGTTTCCCGAACCTTGTTGGAGTGGATGGTCCTTAAGATCAAGCATATTATGCTGGTTTGTTCCTGAACTTTTTGCATGTTTACCATTTAGCTTTTTATTTTATTTTATTTAAAAAAGTAGCCAATCCCCGTGCATATGGAGATTTGTGGTTTCTACTATCTCCTTCACTTTTAAGTGGTAGCGAAGGAAATTAGTTGTTGTGATTGTGATGATAAATACTCAGTTTTTTTTTTTTTTTAATGATGGAAGCCACTTTTTTCTGCTGCTTTAATGCAGGGGAAGAAAAATCCAGGGACAGATGAACAGTCGGTCAAGCCATTTCTAGAGCAAAGTAATGAAAGCTAAGGAAATGAAAATAGACAAGTAATGAATTTTGATTCTATTCTTTCATCTTTTGATTAAGTATTACTCTGTTGATCTGATACTTGTTAACCTATACTCTATAGTTCCATTTCCTTCCTACTATTGAGGAAATGCTTCAGGCACGCTTATTATTGAATATTATAAATTTGTATGTTGGCAAGTTATGGTTGTGATACTGATTTATTTTTTGTGGGTTGAAGGAATTTTAGTTGGGATCGCTGCAGTACAAGTCAATAGAAAATTAATTGATTATTCTGATATCCAAATTGAAAACTTATGATTTCCTTTTTGATTTACCAATTTAATTTTCATTTTGAGGATAACAGTTCAATATGAGTTTCTTCTGTCATGTGTTCACATGCCTTTTTATTCTTTCTTTCGTTTTTTTTTTTTACACAAAGTTGTTTTATTCTTAGACTATCATGCTAGCAGTTGTTTAATATTATTATTTTTTGTGTAAAAAAAAACTTTCTTATTTTCATTCACTCTTTTTTGGTTCTCTTATAGGGCATTTTAGTGGTTTCTCTAGTTAAGAGTATTTTTCTTCTTTAGAGCTTTAGTTTCGTTCCTTACTGACTCCCCATGTCCTTAATTTCCAATAATTCAAAGCAAATATATGATTATTGTTTAATGGCGACTTTTTCTTCCAGATATTTATTAATTTGTTCTACAAATGTTGATTGTTGATCCTTGGTGTTTGTTTTCCTGAACCCTCAGCTGGCACATTCTTATGCGGATGGGGATCCAAAACTAGGTTCTTGTGATCCAAATCCATCTCGAGTTACCACATTCATTGCATGCCTTCAATCGTGTATCTAAGGCAGATGAACTTAACATGGTAAGATTATATCATTCACTATTTCGCAATCTTATATTACATCTGATTCATGGTGAAGATATATTTTTGAACTCAAGGAATTTCACAGAAAAATACTGAGTTTCATATGTTATATTTTATGATTTGACTGGAATTTGGCATAACCATGATAACTGGCAACTTCTTTGAAGTATGACCGGATGATATAGAGTTTACAAGGTAAAACTAAATAGTGCTGACTTTGAGATCATTTGTTTTTTAACTATTATGGGCATGAGCCCTGTTTTCCTCAAGCAAGCGCAAAAATATATCTGAGCATTTAATATTTATCCTTGTTTTTTAACAAATGGAGTTCACATAATAAAAATATGGGTGGGTTGTGGGAGTGCTGGTGAAATTAGTTCTTCAAAATTGTTTTGCTTAATAACTTTTGGCTTCTGATCTACTCACTGTACTTCCATGTCTGGCTGTTTCTTACTGCTCCTCAGGAAGGTTGCCATACTTTTCGAGGGGAATTTTGGAATTACTTCAGCATGGTTAAGAATAGTTTTTCCTGGGTTCTTTTATACATGAACCTTACCTTTTCAGACATTATAAGTCCATTTTCCACTTACTGTAGAATTATTTGATTTACTTGTCACTTCATTTTGATATTTAAGTTTGTATTTTTCACATCCTTGGATCTTGGTTAGGAAATATCAAGTTTCGGAAATATAAAATCCATTTTACATTAATTTTAACAATAAAACTTCCATTTCATAAGATGAAAAGTATGAATGTGTAATGATGGAAACCTGATTTGTATAATGTTATACCAGTATGCTGATTAAGTGTAATTCATTGATTACCTTCATCATTGGTGTTGATTACTTGATTATTGTTAGCTTCTCTTATAGCACTTTAGGTCATGGAAATAGAATATATTCGAGGACTTTTTTTTCCTCATCCCATCAATCCATCCTAACCATGTTTAAGAAAATCTTAAGACTTCAAACTGGGAATGGATGCTCAAGTGTCTTATGCATTTCATTCTGAACAAAAATTGCATCCTAAAAAATTCAAAAATCAGTTGATCAATCAGGGATTTTTTTTTTTTTGTAGTAATCATAGTAAATACTAAAAGCATTGTATAGACATCGAAGGTTGATTACAATGACATTTTGACTTTCTCCCTCTTGATTGGAAAGTCTATATAGTTTGAGTCTTATAGACCATGACGTAATTTCATCAACCTTTTTTGTGATTGATATATTCTGATTGTAATCATGTTACTAAGCTTGGATGCACACAAGGATGGTTCTTTGCTCCTCTGTTCCACCCTCCTGCCAGGTCAGTTTGTGTAGATCTGTCATTGATTGGGCAAAGAATTCATTTTATGGTTTATAGGCTGTTTTTTTAATCACAGTAAATTCATAAAACCATTTAGTATAGGAGTATGGTAGAAACTGATTCAGATTAAGCACACCAAGAAAATACTGTTATTGATTAACGGAAAGAATGCACAAATTCCCTGTATATTGAGATATCCTTCCTACAATCCTAACTCATCAGTTGACTAACTCCTCTCAACCCTTCCCCTATTTACAGGAAAATGCCTTATTTCTTCAACCAACGCCGCTAACTTAATTAACTAACTACCGGGTATCTATTTATGAAAATTAGTTAAATTGGTTCCTTGCAACTGGTTAATTATAGCGATATCTTGAATTTCGTTTTATTATTTTGGTTTATGAATCTTTAGAACGCCGAGTTCATTTCCATCCAACCATGAATTTGTTATCATTAGTTAATTTGGCACTATGTGCAGCTTCACTATCAAGAACCTACAGTTTTTACTTGTTAATTTCTTAATGATAGACTGAATAATAGCAATCATTACATGGACCTTATATGTGACCAATTTTCTGTTCCGCCAGTTGAGTTGTTTGGAGTGACGAGCTACCTAGCTCAGCAGTTTTTGAGTTGAATCAGATGGTTTGAGTTGGTTATTTAGTCGTTGTAATGTGTAGCTCTTGTCATTTTTTAATGTTGGTTTAGATTTGACGTAGCTCATGTCACTTTTTAATGATGTTTTAGATCGGTCATTCGTACACGCATATCCCTAAAACACACAATATCAATCCTTCGTCTTAAAATTTAAATTATATTGGCATTAGGCACACACAATCCGCTTTGAGTTTCACAAAGGTGCAGCAGATCATACATTCATGAGGATTAATGGGGAACCTTGGAATCAACCTCTCCCAGTTGACGATGATACTGTTTTGGTAGAAATTTCTTACCATGTCCAGGTTAACATGCTCGCCACTCATTAAAAGATTTTTCTTTTCCTTTACAAAACTATAGCATGACATTATCACTTCCAAAATTCTGTTTTATTCTAAAATACAAAACTAGTTTCCTTTTGATGCATCAAAAATAAATAAAATAAAATAGCAAGTAGCTCATCAATTTGTCTTACGCTAACATATTAGTGGTTTAGATGACATCTCTCACCTGTTTTCGCGCACTTCAGACAGAAAATGAAAAGGTTTACCTCTTTCTTCATTCCTTTGCAACCAAACTATTCATCCTTTTTATTTCTTATTTATTTTCTTCCTCTTCTTTCTCAATTTCATGGCAGCCATTCACATCGTTAACTTTATAGGAAAATAATATTAAATTTTTTCTAAACCCAATGCATTCGACATGCTTTTTTGGTTCCCATGCTCACAATATCAATTTATACTCAAATAATAATGGACGTTACAAGCGAAAATTCATGAAACTTTTGATGAGTTAAAAGCGTAATATTTTGTGTAAGGGTAATAATGTGTCAGTAGTATTGTGCTCTTTTTTTCCTCTTTATTCTACACTTGTTTATTGTTTTAAAATTCAAAGGAACAACGGTAAATGGCTTATCACCTATCTAAAAATTGTATGACTTCTACCATTTTTTGACACACATGTATAGCAGAGGCCTATATTTAGTTTGAAGTAATCTTGACCTTTGCATTCTGCTGCTCGTGTGGTAGTGCTAAAAGACCAATTCATCACTAGTCTCGGTAAGAAAGAAACCAAAGACCATACACACCATTATAATAAAAGGAGTATGGTGCACACTTTAAGATAAATTTGTGATTAATGATAGCAAATTTAAACAGTGAAAATAATATGTGAAAGATGTTACACACTGAAATGTAAAAAAATTTAGTGGTAGCTAGAACATAGGCTTTGAGTCTTGCGTTTGAGAACCACAAAATATATTGGTGACCACAATGCGAGTTGGACGGATAAACTAATAGTGGGTTTGGCGAAACAAAGGATTAGGTGGATCACGATCACCATGACCAGAGTTTACAATTTACAATAAGTATAATATGTAAAATCAAGGATTTGTTCTCTAAATTGTACACTATATTGAATGAAGCAGATAATAATAATTTTTGATTAATCAACGATTGAGATTATAATAAATTTCAAATTTATTTTACACACATTTTATTAAAATCTCAATCATCGATAATCAACTGTTATTATTATATTTTATCCATTGAAGTGTACTCCTATCTTTAGATTATTCAAATCCTGCTAAATGAAGATGATAGAAGTTCCGACTTTGCTTATCCAACTCAAAGATCAACAACAACAAAAAAACATGTGAAGGATAAGAAGTCTTCAGTAGGAGATTGTTTCAGAAGACCATAACTACAGACCAAGCAATTGTTGTCCCAAACATTTTGTGATGGCCTCATTAGCCTTCTGTGGTTCAGCCCTTTCTTCTTGTTTCTTCTTCTCCCTGAAGCAAAATATCATTTCAAAGAATCAAAACCTTGCTGAGGAAAGCAAGCAAGTTATAACTGTAAATCTGTCACATCTACTAGTACAAGAATTTACATTAACCTATTATATCTCAAATGAAAAGTAATGAGAACAGAGAAAAACAATTGAATTTGAAGGGCATTGAAAGGTTTGATGTTTACCTGTCAATATACTCCTTTAGCAGCTCTTTTGCTTGAACCAACTTCGAAAGCAGGGTACGATACACATCCAAGTCCCGATCAACACTTCTTTTGTTGATGTTCAAAGCCGCACAAAGCTGTTAAGTTGACACCAAAGATGAATTGACAATAACTACAAACACTAATTAGGATTTACGAAATATAAACTTTTACAATCATGCTACTAAGATCAATCCCGGGAGGAACACATCAGGTCAAGCTATTAGTCACTTCCAAATATGTTAGAATTTCTTGATTTGTGATTTGCTAGAACTCGTGTAAATGAGAACTAAACTTGGTAGCTTCAACTTCAAATTGAATAATCAAAATAGTGTAATGAAATGAGTATTTGAATAATTCCAAATCATAAGTCTTAAATGAATTGGTTTAACCTTGTCCAAAATTGTTGGTTCTGTGGTATTTGCTAACTCGAGAAGCCGAAAGAGGCCTACAGCAAAGAAACGACTATTACTGAATTCCCCTTTTCCCCCTGCTCTTTTTGCAATATCCTTTAAAATTCCCTCAACTTCTCCTTCTTTGGATGAAAACTCAACCAGAGAACTAGGGTTTTGAACCCGAGCCCACTCTTCCAACTTTCTTGCATCTATTCTGTACAAAACATAATTTAATGTAACACAAAAAGTTAGAGAAAATAGTTTATACACCAACAAATAAGGAGTTTTTACACTGTTATTCAATCAGAAATCAACTGTGTATGATTAGTTTATTAATTTTTATAAAAAAAACTACCATAAAAATCATACTACCATAAATTTTACTTTGTTGAAAGTGAAAAACGTAAAAAAACTCTTTACACTGGCTGTACACATAAATTAAACTAAAAAGAGAGAACCTCAAATGCAATTTATTCAAAATGGCACTGATAATAGTGCTTTCATTTCTGCTAATGATTTGGAACAGAATCACAAAAACAAATAAGAAAAGCCAAATTACACAGTGTTGCAACCTGTATTGTTCTGGATCTTCATTCAATGCATTGATGTAGGCTTGGAAGATGGCATCTCGGTCCTCATCACTAGGATACCCTTCCATGAGTTTATCATATACAGTAACAAAACCAAGAGCAAAGACAGGGTCATAACGGTATGATCTCTTGTATCTCATTAAATGTTGTTGCACTATCAGCTCCTGCAGCACATTATTGTAGATACTAGGGATTGGTCGCTTATACGTCTTGAGGAAATTTAACTTCGTCTCAGAAACAGTGGGGGGAACATCTGCACATCATGCAACCACATAAAATTTTCTACATCTATTTATTCTTCTCTTGTGAGCAGAATATGTTAGAAGGATGAAAGAACCTAAACTAAACTCAAAACCACAATTTAATCTAAAACCTTGAGGATCAATTTTGTGAGTTTTTTCCACTTATATATTATTCAACACACTAATTTCTATCTAATGTAAGACTTCGCATTCACATTTGCACACCAACACGTGAAAGTGTGAAACTGCTCACACCATGCCATTTATAATTAAGGTAACCAAAACATGTATTTTTTTTATCAGTCTATCATAACAAATATTTTTTTGTTGCAGATCCCATGTCCACTTATTGATATAGTTAAAAGAGTGTATACAAATGGACAATAACTCTCACTTTATATGCAAATATTGTAAAATTGAATTAAGTCAAATGCATGTGCTCTTAAGATGGTATCTATCCTAGTGATCATTATTGGACCTATCGAGCTATCAGCTATGAGACTACTCATTAAAAGACTGTCATCAAACTAGCAGCAAATGTTTTAAAATACAACCCTTATCTTACAAGATGTGGTTTTGTAGAAATTCAAAGACTTAACGTTTTTCTCTCTAGCATGCAAGTTGAAAAAAGGACAGGAACCTGTAGCAGAAGACATGCATTGAAGAACCATCTTAGAAGCTGAATAATTGGAAGCTCGAACAGTGACATAGTGGTAGGAGAAATGGGTGCGAAAGGCAAAGATGTCAGCTGAAGTGGAAGCGAGAGAAGGCTTTGTTCGTGAGCATTGAGTGAGTGCGGAGAAAGAGAGAGAAGTGAGAGCGGCCATGGGTGGAAAGTGGGAATGGGAAAATGAGAACTCAGAACTCAGAAGGTGTCACTCGTGAGGACAAAATTGAGAAGCAACCTGAACCTGCATTGCTTTCAAAGGTTGGTGTTGGAATGAAAACAAGGGAAAACCGAAAAGCTTATCCACACTGTGAAGTCTCAAACTGAAACTGAAACCTTCTTTTGTCCACTTTACAAGGAGCCGCTCACATAATGACACGTTCAAATTTCGCGGTCACACTTCGTTTTGTTTTTTTTTTTCTTCGAAATGTTATTATAGAAGATACTACAATTTTCTCCAACAAATTGTGTGGAAGTAAAATGCATAAATTTAAAATAATGTTTAACAAAACTAATATAAATTAACTTATACACATATAAGCTGAATTTAATTTATGCAAAAATTTATTCCATTTTTTATTAATTTTATTATAAAAATATTTTTAGAAAAATTTATCCAACAATATCCTTAATTAATTATTAGATTCTATAATATATCAATTTATTTGATTAATAGTTGAATTAAAAGTCCATAAATTCAATCCAAAAGAATATTAAAAATCAGTTTTTTATTTATTTATTTCGATTTGATATTACATATATATTAAGCAAATGAACCACATTATTTTTATATTTGATTCAGATGTTTTTATCTAAAAACCAAACCAATTTTTCAAATGCCTTCTTGTTTCTATATTGAATTTTTATTTTTAATACAAGAAAGCTGTAAATAAGGTAACTTTTGATTCTAAATTTTATATATAGAGAGAGAGATTAATTATATGTTATTTCAGTGCATTGTAGTCGTTTTTTAGAAGAAGCAATACTTGCTTCTCTTCTACGGTATTTGATATTTCGTCGTGGCTGAAATTTGGACCAGTCACATTCACATATAACATATTTTGTTGTTTTATATTAAGTTGAAAAACGGTAAAAAATTTGAGAAATGGAAATGGTGCGTTTTGTTTAATTGAAAAATGGGAAATAGGTTTAAATATTCCATCTATGACTCAATCCAATCTGTGGTTCACAACACCGAATTGGATCATCTATGAAATTAAAGGACTAAATTTTATTTAATGTATTTAAGTTTAATATAAAAAAAATTCATCATCATTCTAAAAATTTATCTTAGACTAATATGGTTTGATTTAAATATAAATAAAACTTGATTCAAGATTATGTTTACTAAAAATCAAATTTGAGTACTATTCAAACGACTAGACTTTGGGTTTAATATCTGTATTATATATATATACTAGTAGGGA